GCCCAGCCCAGAGCAGATCAGAACATGTTTGGCACTCTGGATTCCTATATGAAAACCCTGGGTTTAATCTTCTGAATCACGTGCAAGTGTTTGCACTGTTCAGTGTACAAACATTTCAGAACACCCCCAAGGCACCCTTAAAAGGGTCTCATACCAGTCCAGCTGAATAACTGCCCTATATCTAGCCAAATAGTTAGATACACACTGGGAGCAACACATTAATAGTGGCTGTTTTCACTTTGTTTCTCTGTATTTAGTCTGTATATAATAGGACTGTACATAATCACAAATATATCCTTTTGGGATTTAGGTGGAACACAGAGCAGTAGTCATCTTATAGATGCAGATGCACATGAAAGAGTGAGAAAGCAGAAAACTGCAACATTTCTTCCTACCACTGCTCTTGTTGCAAAGTAATTCAAGAGCCTCAAATCTAGATCTCTACAATTTCACAGCTAAGAGGAAAATTTTATAAGTGCACAGTGGAAGAGGAGAATAGCTAGAACAGACTTCACTCTATTTAAACATATATTTTTGTGTGCGTGCGTGCATGTGTGTTAAATAAATAAAATACTTAAATAGAGTGAAGTCTGTTCTAGCTATTCCATACGCGCACACACACACACACACACACTAAATAGGTCTTTCTCCAGCTTTTCTCCAGTGAGAAAGCAGAAAAGTAAGTGTACCATGAGATGACAAGTAAATGGATTCCTCCCCCTGCCCACCCACATACACACATTTAAAATAGCACCTTGAGGCCCCAAACAAAATCAGGACCCCACCAAGTCACAGATGCCCCCTGTACACAGAATGAAGGGACGGGTGAAACTAACCAGCAAAGCTGCTTGGGACCAGCTCTTACATCAGGATGTACCTATTCCAGAAGAATCCCTGGGCAGAATTTTTTTTTTCTGTCCTGGCATAACAATCATTCTGCACTTGCCCTACACTCCGTGAGGGTGACAGAGTGGGTTTTATTCCAGAACAGACATTAGCTGGTTCCGTGCTAGGCAAGCCACTTAGTGGCCCTGTTTAGATCAGCCACCCCTCTCCCCAAAAGATCAGCCATATCCCCCACAGCTTCTATATGCACAGGAAAGAAACAGATGTGTGACAGGGGTGGGTTTTCTTCCGTTTTAGCCAGAGCCACCTTCCTGAAGGCAGAAGAGTTTGCATGTTAGTGTCTGCCCCCAAGCAAAGAAGGAAAAGCTTCCCCTTGGTCTCCCCAGACATTCTTAACCCTTTCCCTGCCAGGACACACCTCCCTTCTAGGCAGCATGTGTCAAGGACCATACACCCACACAGTGACCCCCCACAAGAGACAAGTTACAGGACTCCCCCAGCACCCCAGAGCAGGGGCCAATTACAGAACCACCCCCACTCCAAAACAGGGATGGGTTATGGGATCACTCAGCACCCCAGAGCAGGGGCAAGTTATGGGACCACCCCCAGCACCACCACCCCAGAGCAGGGGTGGGTTTCAGGCCCCCCAGCACCCCAGAGCAGGTTACAGGACACCCCCCTCCCCCAGCCAGAGCAGGGATGGGTTATGAGATCCCCCAACACCCCGGAGCAAGGGCATGTTATACGACAATCCCCACCACCACCACCCCAGAGCAGGGATGAATTACAGGACCCCAAAGCCCCCCACAGCAGGGGTGGTTACAGGGTCCCCTTTACCCCCTTACCCAGGCAGGCTCCGGCAACCAGTGCTGTGGCCGTGAGGGCTCCAGCCGAGGCTCCATAGATGGTCTTGGCATTGGCCACCAGAAAGGGGGCCCGCTCCTGGAGGCAGCTGGCCACGCCGATGTGATAAACCCCCAGGAAGCCGCAGCCCGCGAAAGAGATATTCCAGCTCGAGTCCGGGGGGAACATCTCGGCGGGGCGGGGCGGGGGCAGTAGCGCTGTTGGCGGCGGGAGGGGACAGAGTCC